CGTAGATAAAACTCTATTGGCACGATTACCAACTATCTATGAGTAATGAAATTAAATTTCTATGAAACTCTGAAATGAAACTTTGCATTAAAAGTGGGTGTTTCATCCTCTCGGTAACAACGCTACGAAACTATACACCGACACTGCCCTGATGGATGATTTTTGGCTTGCGCGCTCTGCATCAGTGGATAGTTAAATAGAATGAACATTCAACGTGACCCACTAGTGGAATCGCAGGTTAATCAAATAATAATCTAGCCCGACGAGAGGAGAATCAAATCCAAATCAACATATTGTGAGGAGAACTTTGAATCCTAATCAACATTATTTTCTGGCTGGCGATATAGGAGAGTCAATTCTTGAGCATGGTATATATCGGGCCCAGACGATGCACTGTGCCCATCCCTTCTGCACGGTCATTGAATTAGAAATAATGGTTTGCAGATGAGCGGTAAAGATAATATAAACAAATAAACATTTGCAAACTAAATAAAGTTGGAGGGACCATATAAATTAAAGAATGGCGTGGCTCGATAAAGATGATAAGCTATTTAATCAATGTTAGCTGCTAGCTGAGCGGTGCGGCGTGTGAGCTGGCAATAAGCGCGGAGGCCGTGCGGCATGGACGGCCGCGTGTGACCAGCAACCGCGGGCATCGATTTTAGAGAGGGCTTGCAGACCTTGCTCGATGATGGGGGTGGGGGGCTAGCAGGGGCGGCGTACAGGTCGTTGGTCGACGACGGAGGATCGGCGGCACATGCTTGCCTGTGTTGTTATGGGTTTGACAAGATTTTAAACTGTAGTTGAAATTATTTGATTTGATATTAGTTGCCAAAATATTGAACAAAGGAAGCCCCAAGTGAGAGAGCGACGTGGCCGCGCGGCAGCCACTTCCGGCCGTCGGTGCGGTGCAGTGCAGCACGCAGCTGTGTCCCCACGCCTTGGCGTCATGGAGCTAGGCATCGTTGGATGCAGGGGCCTCCTGTCGATGCGCACTGCCGACGGCAAGGACTGCACTGCCAAGGACGGACGGACCCCAAGTGGACACGCACGTGCACCATCGCCGATAGCTACGACCTGCCTGAAACGAGCGATACACTACAAGTGAAAGAAACAAGGGCGATACACTACAACCGAATTTGACCAACTGCACAGGTCATGTAGCCTAATTACAGGCTGCTCATCACACAGCTACGTTCTTTTTACTGGTGGCTAGCTGTCCTCTCTTATAGACGGCGCCCAGCCTCATCTCTCTTATTATGTATTTGGTCGTGCACTTGTTTAATGATATGCACTTGAACTAGATCATGCACTTGTTAGTTGTGAACTTGTTATGTATTTGGTCGTGCACTTGTTTAATGCTATGCACTGTGGGTCGGTATTTCGTATTGAATTTTCGCATACCGACCGTGTTCGACATAATTCCGCTCAAATTGGTTCGTTTCCGAAATTCTAGATATTCCGTAAGTTCGTGTTCGTTTTCGTGTCCGGCTTGTCCGCTTTCGCCTTCGCTTTCGTATTTTAAATATAAAAGTAGAAAACGATTGAGGAGTTTTTCGACCGAGTTCGACCGTTTTCATCCTTAACCGCAATGCAGACTACAGATACAGAGTACTCACCAAGAGCTTCAGAGTTGAGATTATTCAGTACTGCCCTGTCTGAATTCTGAACAAGTCTATCCATCCACGACTCATAATTTGATCAGTTTCCGGCTTTAATTTCCTGAGTACTTACACATGCATCAAACAACAAGAGCAATGCTTGTTCATAGTGGTGATGAATTCCAGGTAAGATGTAATCAGCCTGTTCGCTGATTGGTTTCTGAATTGATAAGTTTGACTGGTGCTGATTTGTTGTGAGAGAAAAACACTGTGGCTGAAATCAACAAGCGAACAGGCTTTCATCCCTTTGGTTGAATTTGTGGTATGGGAAAAAAAAGTCTGCTTGTGGAAGTGTGACTGTGGAAAAAGCTTCTTTGTGGGTGTGAGTGTAGAAAAGCTGAAAAGCTGTTTGGTTAAACAAGTATAAAATATACCTTTTATCTTTATCTCTCTTGAAACAATTATGGAAGAGTTTTTTATTCCACCAATTTCGAAAAGCAGAAAGCCAAAAGCCAAAAGCAGGGTCAACCCAGCTTTCAAAAATGAACTACGGAAAAGCAGCTGCTTCTGAAAAAGCACCCTTCAAAAGCAGCCCCTTTGGTTGGGCTTTTGGTTTTTGGGGTCAAAAGCCAAAGCCAAAAGTCCAACCAAACGGGGCCTAAATAACACTAAAAAGATTCATGCTTGTTCAATAAATAACACTAAAAAGATTCATGCTTGTTCAAGTACACAACCGTGATGAAGAGTGGGCATGCACGTGCACCATCGTCAGACGACAGCGGCAAGGACCCGCTCATCAAGATGCTGCCCACCTGCGCAAACTGAATGGGCGAGACCGAGCTGGCCATCCGCTTCTCCACACTCAGGTCGATGCTGGACATGCTGTATCCTGCAGACGTGCGATGCACCACCAGCAGCCCGTCCCAGCAGTGAACCGCGAGGCTCTGCGGCCAGGATGGTGGGCACGCAGCTGCAATAGATGGTCGGCGGCATCGTGATGCAGGCAGAGAGGCTGCCGGCTCGCATGGGGTTGGATGCTGCTGCAGTCTCTCGAGGGGCTTGAGGGGAAAGGGGCAGGGCCGTCGGCGTCGGCCACTGCGGCGGCGCGGCCAGGGTCGCCAGCTCACGTGGGGCCGGCCGGTGCGAGGAGTTGTGCGCCTGTCCCCTCGCGCAGCCTCTGCTCCCGTGGTAGGTGAGAGTCACCTGTACGTGACGGAACGTCGAGCAGCTCTAGTAGAGAGAGAGAGGAGGGAGATGAGGATTGGTGGATGGGTGAGTGTGAGAGAGATAGCAGCCTGGTTTGATGCGTATATATTTATCTTAATTTATATATGTTGAACTAGATTGGAGTGAAATTAAACTAAATTCTATTCCATTTAATTTCAACACATCTGGATTGAAGTGAATACACATGCATCCAAACAAGACCTCAGGGATGAACAGGTCACTGTTATCCTAGCGAGGAAAGGGGAAAAGTTTGGAATTAGTGAAAAATACCCTAACAATGCACAATGAAGCACCGTCGCTGAGCGGCTCCTCGACGGGCGATCACCAGACAGGTCCAAAGCGGGCGGAGAACGCAGCGGAGACAGGTTGTCGGAGATACAGGGGCATCCAGTGCCGCCCATGCACCGGCGGAGAGAACCGCGGACGGCCGTGGACCCCGTGGGGTCAGCTGGATCGGCTATCGGAGCGGCCGGAGTGGCTCGACGGTGACGGACTCGAGAGAGTAGAGGGAAGACGAGGCGTAGAGAGCGGTGACTGAACGAGACGTGGTGTCAACGGTGTTGTTTAATAAACCGTAGGTGGGGAGGGGTTAGCCCACCGATTTAGGCAAGTGGTGATCGCACCACACTGTGTACAGCCAACCAAACACGCCCCATGTTTGGCTCCAGTAGTGCGCCAGGACCTTATTCACCAAATGAAACAAAAACTTGGATCAACCAGGCCAAGGATAGCAGGCCAACCAAACAACCCCATGTAGGCTTGTTGGAACCAGGTTAGCCCTAACCAGGCCCTAATCCTAGCCGGGCTATAATTTAGGCAGAAAACCAAACACACCCTATATCATGGGCGGCGCCATGGGTATGCCCCTGTATTCCATGGAATACCCATGATTTTTGTGACAAACACAAATATATGTATACATGTATAATGATACATCATGTTAGTTTGTTGAATGTTGCAAGTATGTAGCCCATAAGCCCAGTAGAACCAAGGTTTTTAATTTCGGTATCGCTAAAATTTCAGCCACCACCGAAATTACCGAATTTCGCGAAATTCAACCGAAATTTCGTTGAAATTTTTTTAGAGATTAGCACATGAAGTATGTTTTTTCTAAAAATTTTGGATCTAAACAAATATTAGTATGACTTATGACTACATATCTATTAAATAGAAGAATATGTAATATAAACAATAGAAAAATATAAGATTAGAGTTATATAGCACATGTATTAGTGTATTAAAAAATTTCGGAGTTTTCTTTCGGCCACCACCGAAATTACCGAATTTCGTGAAATTCGGCCGAAATTTCGCCGAAATTTTGAACCCTGAGTAGAACAACTAGTAGCAGCAACCCATGAACTCAGAAAGACAGAAACCCATCGACCGTACTCCCGTCCCTGTCTCCTGCTCCCGTCCGTCGCTCGCATCGATCGGAAGGGCGGCGGCATGGCAGGTCAGCTCTCCCCCTCGGCCCTTCAGCCCTCGCCCGGTCGGCCCTCTGGCAGTCGAGAACGCGGCAGCGCCTTGCGCCCGGCACTCCTCTGGCGGTGGCGGCAGCGGCGATCGGTGGTCTTTGCAGGCTCCCCCTCGGCTCCGGCGTCCAGGTGTCCGACCCTCTCCCTCGGCACCTCTCTCATCTGCGGCTTGAAGCAACAGCACGACGAACACAAAAGACCCCAAATCCATTCTTGATTCTTCAGAGTAAGAATTGAAGGTTTCATTTTCTTTTTTTGTTGTTGCATTGTGTTCTTTTTTTTTGAAAGAAATGTTGCATTGTTTTTCTTGTAACATAGATAAAGAACTTATACTTTGATTATTACCAGGGGTGACACCAAGTTCACTTTGCCTGGTGCCTTGTTACCAGGGTAAAAAAATAATTTACCTAGCATATATTTTAAGAAAATTATATATATGCTACTTGAGCTGTGCACCGGGATTAATTTTGTACTGGTTTTGTCCCTTATTACTATTGCATATGCATCGGAAATTTTTTGTACTTGGGATACCCAGCCGTGAAATACTGGCTCCGCCACTGCCCTATATATATGTGGATGGTCATGTGGTGCAACTGCCTACAGGTGCTACACTAGAGCTGCAGAAAGAGAAAGCAATTGGTCTACCAGCAGTATCTCAGCTCCTTTGTAATAATATAATAGTACTAGACTAGAAAATATGGTTGCCGTAACAAGATCCTCTGGGTTGCCCATTAGCGTGTTGAGTCGCCACCTTGTGAAGGCCTCCGACCCGTCTCTCAAGCCGCACGTCGTCGCCTTCTCGAACCTAGATCTCTACCCGGACAACGTGCAGGCTTCCATGGTATACCTCTACCCCAATAAGCTGCCAAAGTCCGGCCCGGGCGGCTTCGACGCCGTCGTGTCCACCTTCGAGGCCGTCCTGCCGACCTTGCTTAACCACTTGTACCCTCTCGCCGGCCGCATCGTCATCAACCCAAGCAGCAGCTCCGGCGGCGTCCCCGAGCTCCACTGCCACAACCAGGGCGCGGAGCTCGTCGTGGGAGAGGTGGGCGTCGCCTTGGGCAGCCTAGATTACGGCCTTGCGGAGGAGTCCCTGAAGAAGATCATGCTGCCGTACCCAAGGGACGTCACGCTCTCGGTGCAGCTCCTGTCCTTCGCGTGCGGCGGCTTCTCCGTCGTGTGGGGCTTCAACAACCTCGTGAACGACGGCAATGCCGTCACCATGTGCGTCAGGATGTGGTCGGAGCTGGCGCGGACCGGCAGCATCACCGAGGGAGCCGTGCCCGTGAAGCACGACCGCTCGGTGTTCCGCCCCCGCGACACGCCGGCCTACGGCGCCGAGCTCGACGACTTGTTCACCACGTACGACGACCACCGGATGGTGAACGCCCTGACGGCCCACGCCAGTTTCGTGGAGCGCCTCTACTACGTCGAGGCGGCCAGCATCGCCAAGCTGCGCGACATGGCCAGCACCGGCGAGCTCCAGCGTTCCTCGCGCGTCCAGGCGGTGTCCGCGTACCTGTGGAAGGTCCTCGCCGCCGTCGTGGCCGCGTCCCGCGTGCCCGAGGAGCGCTGCCGCATGGGCTGGATGGTCGACGCGCGGCGGCGGGTGAGGTCGCCCGAGCTCGCCGCCGCGATGCGAAACTACTTCGGCAACGTCACGGCCTACGCCCTGGGCGGCGCCGCCGTGGAGGAGATCGAGCGGAAGCCGTTGGCCGAGGTTGCGGCCATGGTGCGGGAGGCCATCACGTCCATAGACTACGACGAGTACCTCCAGGAGCTGGTGGACTGGGTGGAGGTGCACAAGACCGAGCACGTGATGGAGAAGGGCGTCCTCGGGTTGGGCTCGCCGACGTTGAACCAGACCGTGTTCGCGTCGTTCCCGCTCGACACCGACTTTGGGTTCGGCGACGCTGCGCTCGCCCTGCCCATGTGCGACTACGGGAGGCTTTGCTCCGGGTACCTCTCCGTCGGAGCGCGGCCTGGAGGCGACGGCTCCTGGCTCCTCAGCGCCTACATATGGCCGCAGCTGGCGGCGGCACTGGAGTCCGACGGCATCTTCAAGCCTCTCACGGCGGAGTATCTCGGTCTCACACCCTAGCTATACCTATACGGTCTTGTCCATCTGCATGCATCAGATCAGATCATATCACGGCTCATTATTATATTGGTTGCATGCGTTTACACATGATTTAATTTCCTCCAATCCTTTATTTTCCCTTTTATTTATTACCGCTCCTAATAATGCAGTAATGCTACATGTTGGCTTGTGTACGTACGTGTAATAATGTTGCATGGTCTCTCTCGGACCTGTGCTAAATAAAGAACCTTTACTTGTTTTGTTATTATATATATATACGGTAAGATATATATATATATATATATATAATATATATATTCTATATATATATATGTTTTACGATAATGTTTATACCAATTTACGATAATGACAATACACATTTACGATACATGGATTACTATAATTCAAGATGATACTTACCATAATGTTATAGTAAATCACTTACGAGAGAGTTACTATAATCTCGTAAATTAGTATAGTAAATATCGTAACTCAAAGTGACCACGGAATATATATATATATATATATATCCTTTACATGGAGGTTATTATTATCAACGTTTTTCTTTATCACTGCTGAGAATCAGCGCCGGTTCAAAACCCCTCTTCAGTGTCGGTTTTTGAACCAGCACAACGAAAGCGGCAGTGATGTGCCGCTTCTAGAACCCGACACTGATGAGGTTCCCAGGAAACCTATACGGTTCTAGAACTGACATCGATGAGGTTCCCATGAAACCAATAAAACGGTCTGAAAAATAAGAAACAATTTTTAATACTAGAAGAGTGCCCACTAGCTATCCACGTGGTCCAAAAACACGCAAAACATTTTAGTCACAAGTCATGTAATTTTTTGCGCGAAAAACGCGCGACTTCATGGGTGCCAGCGCTCGAACCCACAGCCTTCGGCTTCTTGTGCTTGTCCCCTAGCCACTGTAAGACACTTATTCATTCTTATTCTATCTTCATCCGGTTTTAAAATGAGTATTTGAGACCCTAAATGAATTCAAATGAAAAAGCTATCAACTACAAAGTTTTATAACTTTTCGGGATCTAGAAATTTTAATTTTGGTTATTTCTCCATTCAAGGTCGTTTGAAAAATTTAAATTTCAAATGTGAGGAAATTAAGTCATAATTTATCTTGGATAAATGATATCAAATAAAAAGTTATCAACTACAAAGTTTCATAACTTTTCAAGATATACGTTTTTTGTTCCGGTGATTTCTCCATCCGAGGTTGTTTGAAAAATTCGAATTTCAAATGTGAGAATTCAAACGTAATTTTCGTTGAATAGACGATTTCAAATGAAAAAGTTGTCAACTACAGTGTTGCATATCTTTTTGACCTCTACAAATTTTGTTTTGCTCGTAACTCCATCCGAGATCCTTAACTACAACTACGCACTCACTTTTGACTATAGAGCCTACGGATTCCTTGGTATTAACTTCTATAAAATCTTATGAACCAAATATTTCAGCATCAAAACGACTTTAAATAAAAAAATTGAACTACAAAGTTGTGTAACTTTTTGAGATCTACAACTTTTGTTTTGGTTGTTTCTCATCCGATATCCTTTTCTACCACTACACACTCACTTGTGACTGTAGAGCATATGACTCCTTTGGTATTAACTCTATAAAATCTTATGATACATATTTTGATATCCAAATGACCTTCAATCAAAAATTTTGAACTACAAAATTGTAGATCTCAAAAAATACTACAATTTTGGTATAAAGTTCGTCTTCAACGAACATCATATGATAAAATTATGAAATTTTTCGTGCTGCCTATCACTGTCAGTCCAAGCCACAAATCAGCAATGATGTTATCACTGTCGGTTTTAGCTAGAAACCGGCAATTATGACCCATTATTACTGCCAATTTTAGCCAAAAACCGCCAGTGATATGAACCGATAGTGATGACCCAAATATTATTGTCGGTTGGTCCTATCACTGTCGGTTTTAGCCAAAAACCGACAGTGATGATGCGTCAGCCACTATGTGAAGAACCAATAGTGAAAATCAATTTTGCAGCAGTGTATGATAGTTGTGATGAAAACATAGAAGAAATTGTCGAAAGCGTGATAAGAAAATTTGGTAAAAAGGCTTTCACTAAGATAAAAACCCTAATGAAGAAATTAGAGAAGAGGGATAGATGCTTGGAGTTGCAAGGTGAAATAATCACTCAAGAGAGAGAAAAAAACCTTGCACTTGAAGCATGTATCGCCGAGAAAAGAATGAAGGTTGAGAAGTTCACCGTAAAATTGTCTTTAGCCAATAACACTATTGGGAAGTTGACTAAAGAACATTCCTCGGTTAATGACTTAATAGCTAGCCTAAAGAATAAGAAAGTATAGCTCAAGAAAGCCTTGCACGCTTGGAAGAAAAATACCAAAATCTTGAGCTAAGCTACAACACTCTTTGGGCTAGCACTTCAACTTCTCTTAAGCCAACCGAAAACTCTAATGTCTCCACTAGCAATGACTTTAAAAGATGCTATAAAAAATTAATGTAAATATATATGCAACTAACCTTATTGAGATAGAGAAGAAAGACAAGGAGATTCATAGGTTGAAGATGATCTTGAAGAATGGTTGCAAATGTCAAGAACAATCCAACAAGACTATATACAAGTCATCAAGGCACACATCAATCAAGGAAGGCATTGGCTACAATAGGTATGATGAAAAAACCAATAATGAAAGGAACATGATCAATGGTGTGCCTTGTGTGAAGTTCAACAAAGGAGTTGCTCTTGATGATCTCTTATGCAAGGCAAACAATGTCTACATTCCCAAGATTGCACCCACAAGTGACAAGACAAGCAAGTCAAAGCAAGTGAAGGTCCCCAAGCCACAAGCACCAATCCCACGATGCTATGCTAGTGACGACATGTGTTGTTGGGGCAAGGATGGCAAGACTGTCATGAGATATGTTGGTGCCCATAAGACGAAGGAGATCATGAGAAGTGTTTGGGTGCCTAAGTTTTATATGACTAACCCCCTAGGACCAAAATATTTTTGGGTACCTAAAACAAAAGCATGATTTGTCTTTGTAGGACTACTCTTTCGGTGGAACAAGTTGGGTGTTGGATAGTGGATGCACCAATCATATGACCGGAGAGAAGGATATGTTCACATCATTTCAACCTAGTCATGACGAAAGTGGGAACACTGTATTTTGTGACAATGAAAAAGAAGAAGTTCTAGGTTTGGATAAAATTGCTATATCAAATGATAATTTCATTTCAAATGTTTTACTTGTGAATTCGTTAAGGTACAACTTGTTATCTATTTCACAACTTTATGAGATGGATTACAATTGTCTCTTTACCTACAGGGTGATCTTCGAGAGGTTCTTCCCTCAGGTGAGCTAATCAACATTCTTCAGTCAGACACCATCAACATGTAATGCATGGAATGGAACAGACATACATAAACTAATTAATTTGTTGACCATGCATGATGACGAGCAGAAGTCTGCTATCCTGACGGTGCCTGGCGGGCCAAGCGTGGCATGCAGCACGGCCAAGGACATTGAATGGGATGCGTAGTGGTCAGCAAACCTGGATCCCTCCGGGAGGGCGGCACTGGGCGTCCATGTCGCCGCCTATGAACACTAACACAAACATGAACAAGATCCGAAGCATGTCCCGGACACCATCGCAGCAGGAGGCAGCAAGAAGCCGAGGACCATCTGGGTGGCAGCAGCGGCGGCGCTGCCTGGCATTGCAATCGAGGGATAGATAGCTTGCCATGCATATGGCTTGCTGTCGCTTCTCCGGCCGGCGGCTTCCTCATCTGGCGTGGCCACTATCTTTTATCACCGCTTGCAACAAATAATCAAATTAGCGAGCTGCCATTATATTTGTTGGGCGCCATGTTGTACTCCTAACTATTAGTCATGTTTAATTTCATATTTTCGAATCAACGAACAAATGTTTATTAGTTTGGGAACATAGGATAAGATGTGCAGATGGAGGATATTAATCAGGTTCAACAATTGGGCTTCTGTGGAGCCGTCAGTTGACCCAGTCTTTGCTTCATTGCCACCAGTGGGCTGGGCTTTAAACAAAATCCAGATGCAGTGAGGCTGTGAGGCTTTGGGCCAAGTTCTTTGCTGTTGGGTCTTCAAAACTCTCACTAAGACATTTCAGTCCCTTCACCGATCGCCGATTAGCACGCGCAAAGATCCGATCGCCGCCCAAGTCGCTTCACCAACCAGCACCGTAACGACAGGCAACCCCTCCAGGGCAGAGCTAGGAGCAACCGCATCGAACATCAATGCCAACACGACCAGGACGTCGAGTGCACCTTAACAATCTTCGAGATGCGCGACGACGTATCGATGAACGCTGCTTTGGTTGCCATGAAGAAGTACGCCGCCGCCAGGAGTACGAGCAAGAGTACGACAACCCGGACTCAGCTCTCGAGCCACTCAACGCCGGCAACGCTGCTGACGATGGCGCCGACAACCCCGAAGGGCCCCCAGCATTCACGAGGGCGCTCCAAACACTTCAGTGGCCTGGTGGTTTTAAAATCACTGGGGTCGAGCCCTACGAAGGAAGGATGAACCCAACACAGTGGCTATAGGCTTACGCGACTGCCGTCCGCACCGCTGGAGGAGACACCAGTGTTATGGCGAACTATCTTCCGGTCATGCTCATGCCAACCGCCATGAACTGGTTCACAAGCCTTGCCCCGGACTCCATCGGATCCTAGGAAGAGCTGAAAAAAAGTCTTCACCGACAATTATATGGCTATGTGTACTCGGCCGAGCACCAAGCATGATCTCAACCGCATCAACCAGAAGTCGTTCGAGCTCCTCCGTAGCTACATCAGACACTTTTCTGAGATGAGGAATTATATTCCCAACATCACGGAAGCTGAGGTCATCACCGCCTTCATCCGAGGACTCCATCACTGCAAGCTTCGCTCCAAGTTTAACCGCAAGCCACCCACAGGGATTGGCGAAATGATCACGACTGCCAACCAGTACGTCGACACCGAGGAAGTCGAGG